TCAGAGGGGGAAGCAGGAGGAACAACTTAATCCAGGGTGCCTACCCAAACCTTCTATTGACAATTCTGGAAGATTGAGGAAACCTTACCCTGCTTTCTGGCTCACAACATGAGACACTGTCAGGTTTGATACTCAAATGTATCTTCAGCTGAAGCTGTGGGTGTCCAGTTTTTGCCAGGCCACAGCTGCCAAGGTTCACATACATTATATTATTTCTTGGGTTTATAAACAGCTTCAGTTCCATTCATGCACGAGAGCCAGGGCTGTCCAGACAGGAATGCTCAAGACCCCTCTGGGACACTGAGACATCCAAAAAGAGCAATTCTCAGTAACCTGAGCCCTGGCAAGATGCTAAAGCAACTCTTAACAWCCCAACATGGGAGCCCAGAGCTTCTGAAGAAAAAAGACAAATGTTCCATGTAGGTGTGAAGGACTTCTGCAATTTTTGGCCATAGCACTTGGGGAAGGCAGAAGAAACTAAATATGCATGAGTCCTTAAAAGGACAGACACACAGAATGATCATATAAAACTCATACTTTTGCTAAAATCCATAGCTGTCTCTTGTGACTAATGTCTTTTCCTGAAGGCAGGATTGCTGAAGCATGGAATGGGGACAGGACCTTCCCCAGGGGACAGAAAGGAGGTGGCAGAACTGTGAGCAGGGTGAGGAATCCAATCCCTGTCCATAGCTCTGATGCTGGAAAAGAGATTGTTTCCCATTACCAAAGCAAATTCTGACACTCATAGGAGAAATTGTGAAGAAAATGAACCAAGTCCTGCTTTTCCCAGCGAAATGTGGGTGTGGGGGGGTTGGTGCTTATGTACTTAGGAAGCATCTTCATCAGAAACAGACGTGGGTGTGGGCCTCTGATTCGTGTGAAGAGCATTCAGTGCTACCTTCAGGACCTTCCCTTAGCAATGATTTCATTCTGCAGGGGATGTGTGAGGGGGGACTGATAAAAGATCAGCTTTGGGAAGGCCCTGTGCACGACACAGCCGTACTCACAGGAGCTGTGTCTGCCAACTTCAAGCCTCAAGACTCTCATTTCATTGCTGAATCTTCAGCTGTTGTGATCAGAGCCATTTTAATTGGCATCCACAATTTATGGAMGTGTGGGATGAGAGCCCTTCTACAGAGAAGGGTGTCCAGTCTATCTCTGGTAACCAGATGCTGTCAAGCAACGGGGCAAGGTGGGAAAGTTAGAGGGACAACTTTGAACCTGTGCTGCCTGAAATTATCTGTGCATCCTTTGCCATGCTGCAAACCTGGAGCCTTCTGTTAAGAAGCACTTAACAGGGAAACCTCAGATCACCTTCTCTGGAGAGCCACAGGATTTTTGCAGGCAAGAATAAAGGTGTCACTTTTTCTTTACTTTATGTTTTTGTTTTGCTTTGTTTTGGTTTTTTGTTTATGTTTGGTCAGAATAACCAAAAGTGGTTTTTCTTGGAAAAGTCCAAAGAAATTTAGTAATCTTTTCCTGCTATCAAATCCAAATATTTTAAAGACTAAATTCTTGGCTTTATATGTGTACAGATAAATCTCATAAAAGAAGGAAAAACAACATGTTGTGATTCTTAACACACAGCCTGAGGCAGCCCTGAGCCTGGGTCRTTATTGGTTACTATGTAGTGAAATAGAGAGATGGTGCCAAGCAAAACCACCTCTGAGCATCTCTGTACTCCCTCCCACCCACCAAAGCCAAAAGCTTGGTGTTTGTGGACCATGAATGCCATCCTATCAAAAAAAATCAATACCTGCCTRTTAGCTGATGTGATGAAGAGCAACTTGTTTCTTTTCTGTTTGAGATATCTGCTGGTTTGCATTCACCCTATTATTTTTTATTTTAGATTTTTAGATCCACACACCACCCATTCCTCTACTTCAAATATTTTAGAAACCTCCAGTGTTGTTCTTCCTACATAAGTTCCTTTACTAATTTTCTACAAAGTGCAGAATAATTTTCCTAATCATTACCCTGGTTTGGGACATTTTGTCCTATCTAGACAAGTGGTCTCACACTTCTGAGTCATCAGGACTAGAGACTGAAGATYCTGGCTCTGACTCCTCAATGTGCAAGACTGAGAGGCCCCAACACATCCAGTTTAAACATCCATGCTGCAAAAATGACTCAGGCACTGAGGAATCTCAGCCTGGTTGAAGGGAGTTAGGCTCCCATGGTCTCTGCCCTAGTATCTCTGTAAAAAAATAGYATTTTAAGAAAAGTTTGACAACTTCTGCCTGAAATTCCAGCTATGTTCAGTTTTGGTTTGGTTGTTTTTTTTTTTCTCACAAGCCCATCACCAAACGTTGTCCTGATAAAAAGCCTTTGTTGACAAAACTGTTGAAGAATTCAGTAATTGCTTGTTGTTTCAAACTGGGGGATKCAGAACCTGAGAGCTGCCCCCTGAAATGCCCTTTAAGAGTGGCCCAACCTTCCCATATTATCTCCTCTGCCTTTCTCCCTGGAACAAGGCTATATCTAACCCAAAGACACAAACCTTTTCTTTCCCAGTGGAACATYTTTTCCTGTCCATAGTTCTTCCTATATGAGACAAGTGACAATTCTCCAGGGAAACCTCAGGGCTTTGCACAACGTGCACAGTGACCTGCCTGGTGCTGCCCCTCCATGGGTGTCTCTGCAGAGTTGGAAAGGTCTTTACTACAGTTGTGATTATGGCAGCAAAGACAAAAACTATGATGATCAGGTGGGGCATTGTCAGAGCTTTACCAGGACTCAACTGTTCTGACTCACATGATTTAACTTAAATACCTCATGAGCAGCATGGCCATGCCAGCTAAATATTCACAATATCCCACAATGAATGCGCTGTTCCTTGTTTCTTCAGACATCACCCTTAATCAGACCAAACTAAACCTTCTCTTCTCCCAAAAGTCTTTTAAGTACTACATGGGCCAGTACTGCCATCCACATGCTGACCCCAGTCTCTCTGACTGATCCATGCTCTGCACTCTTTCCATCCCTGTTTTCCCAGTCCCTGGGATATGACAAACAGAAATCTTGCTTTTCATCAGCCTAATGATCTCCCATCACATCCCAGGTCACATATGCAGAGAGTGCCCAGGGAAAGCCAGTTCATTACTGGGGAGAAATTATCCCTACTCAATGGTTTCCAAGCACAACCTTTCAAGTTCCAGCCCCATGGGTGTGTTTGGGACATGACAGTAACCCTGAATGATCCAGGAAGGCACAGTTTCACCTGCTCTGTTCAATGGAGAGCCTGAGCTGGAACTGTTGACACCCAGGACTCATTTCAAGCTATTTTTTATACTTTTTKGAACTCTTTTTAGATACTCTTTAGACCAAACAATGTTAGCCATAACTGGATTGCACTCACTTGCCTACCCCTCAGCAAACACATGTGCCTGCATGCACTCACACATATTTTCATGCCACGCAGGAATTTTAAAAAACTTTTGATACCAAGGGAAGCCAGGACAACTACTGTACACTGCACAAAGGTCACACAGATCTCCTCTAGTGACAGTGTTTGGGGGTGGGGGCAGCTCCTTCTATTTGGTTGTTTCCTGCTGAACAAAAATCAGCTGTSGTAAGAACAAACTTCCCTCGGGAGCCCAAGAGGTGCAGTTTGTTGGTTGTTGTTCTTGTGTCGTGTTTTGTTTTCCAGAAGAGGCTGTGCTATCAGTCTGTCTCAGCATCCACGCAAGACTTGTCACTGTGCCATCTGCTGTCACACAGGTGTGCCCGGTGTGCCACACCGCCACCTGGTTTAGAATGTCTCTGGATCTCACAAAACACGAGCCAGACCCCGCTGCCACAGCCCTGCCACGCAAAACCCCCGCTCAGAGCCGCTGATGTCACCCCGCTCCGAGCAGGGATGCTCAGRCACAGCTTACACGTGGCTCAGGAAACACCCCGACCTCCTGGGCAGCCCAAACGGGACAATCCCCTCGCTCTCGGGGTCCCCACGGCTCCCTGAGCCCCGAGTCCAGCTCCTGCTCCGGGGATGGGGGACAGGGGACCGCTCCCCCTGCGGGGACGGGCGCTGCTTCTCCCGTCGGACCCTCACGGCTGCTCTCRATCCAGCCCTCTCTCCCGGGAATTCGACCCAAGCTGCGGACACTCACCGGGAAAAGCACAGAAAAACTCCAGCACTTTTGGGAAATAATCGCCTTCCCAGACAGGTTTTCCCAAAGAGGAGGGCGAGGAAAGCGGCTGCTGCGGGGAGCGACAGCTCCAAGAGATCGGGAAGGGGCTCGAACCCTCCGCCCCGGCCGGCCCCGAGGCAGCGGCGGGAGCGGCTCCACCTGCGGAGCGGCTGAAGGCATCTCCCGGACCCGCACCCGGACCAACTCCCGCTCCCGGACCCGCACCAGACCCGGTCCCGAACCCGATCCCGCTCCGGCTCCGGCTCCGGTGTCGGTCCCGTTCCCGGTCCCGGCACCCCGGGCTCGGCCGCCCGTCGCGAACCTGCCCTTTCCCCTCCAGCCCGGTCCCCTCGCAGCCTCAGCCGTGCTGCTTCAGGCAGCACTGGGAGATGTCTTCATCCTTCTTTTGCTCCACGGCACAAACAGTAGCAGCACAAAGAAAAAAAAATCCTTACAATTTTCTCTTTTGATCCACCTGGATGCTGAGCAGAGCTCAACTCTGAGACACTTCTGCACCCTTTCCTTTCCTTTCCTTTCCTTTCCTTTCCTTTCCTTTCCTTTCCTTTCCTTTCCTTTCCTTTCCTTTCCTTTCCTTTCCTTTCCTTTCCTTTNTTCCTTTCCTTTCCTTTCCTTTCCTTTCCTTTCCTTTCCTTTCCTTTCCTTTCCTTTCCTTTCCTTTCCTTTCCTTTCCTTTCCTTTCCTTTCCTCCACAGCTCACCTTTCCCTTGCTGCTCTCACACCTCCCACGTCCCCAAATCTTGCCAGTGCCTCCCTTTCCACATGCACAACACTCGGCTCTCCCAGCCCACCCTGCATCAAACCCAAGTGTGTTTGCAGAAGACAGGTCTCCCCTGCAGTTTCCACACTCACCTGCAAAATGCTGCTTGCTGCTAGAATCCAGGGCAAAAGCCACCTCATCCCTGGAAGCCGGGATTAAATACATTTGATTGAACCCAGATTTAGAGCCGTTTTGAACAAAAACACCACTTTGGGGAATGCAGAGCAATCCTGAACTGGCAACCTAGCCTAGGCACTCTGCCTTTTTCTCTTGGCTCTTTGGGGATTTTATTAAAGACAGATCTGACGTCACGGTGAAGGACAAGCCCTRCATTTTTCCTCTGGAGAAACTTTTCCTGCCTTCACTTCTTCATTTTTGTGTGTGGTGTTGTCCCACCTCCTGCATTTCAGTGCATCGCCGTGAGCCAAAGGGCTCTTAAAGGGAAAGCTGCAGCGCCGGGGTCCGACACGCTGCAATTTCAGCACAGCTCCGGAAGGCTCRGAGCTCATCCCTCACGCTGCTCATGGCATTCAGACTCTTGCAATGTAGTTAGTGCAGCAAGAAACKTTTGATCTGGCTTCACTGGTTGCAATCAGTGACATGACACGTATACAATTGYGCACAGATGTTTGATTTATTTGATTTTAAAAGCATTTGAAAGGCAAAAGGACATTTATCTTGCAAGCATATCCTGTGGGAGGCAGTCTGCCGACTCCTCTTTTCACAGAGCAGCCTTGGATCACAAGAACCCCTGCCATGCCACATATCCCTTCCGTGATTTCAGTGTTTAGGACTGTGTATCACTCCTGGGGCCAGTCATTCCCCTGCCCTGTGCCAACACTGGGCATAACAAATATTGTCCCAGTACATGAGAGTGCAAACCCCTCCCTGAACTCAAATCTCACCCCAAACTCTCTGATCACTTGTATCCCTGCTAAGGTATGTCCTGATTTTAGCTGAAGCACCTCTGATGTATTTTCTTCCTTTTACCTAGGCACAGGTAAAGTGTTTTCCTCAACTATTCTAAATCTGAATCTGAAAGAGTTTAGTCCCTTTCATCCTTAAACTGAAGTAGAATATTATAAGGAAAATGAGTACTTGCAAATGGAATGAAAATCTTTCATTCAGAAACAGCTTCACAGATCTTAAACAGGAGAAGGAGCTGATTCATGGGCTAAAATAAGTGTCAAGSTAAATTTAAAAGTAGACAAACCTTTCTGCTTGATGTGACAGGCTGGGCAGTGCTGGTCTAACTAGAACTGAGATGTTTCCTTTGGTTACCTGCTGGAACTCAGGTGTGCCAGGTTGGGTTGGGATGAACCACTCCCAGCCCTCCGCCCTCAGCAGCCAACCAACCTAAGAAGAACATGGAATCCAGTGGAGTGAATCCAGAGGTCACTAAGATGATCAGAGGGATGGAGCACCTGTCCTGTGAGGAAGAGGTGAGAGAGTTGGAGTTTTCCAACCTGGAGAAGAGAAGATGCCAACAAAACCTTAAAGCACTTTCCAGTACCAATAGGAGTTACAAGAGGGAGGGTCCTTTGGCCTTCTTTATGTAGTGATTGGACAAGGAGGAATGGCTTTATGCTGAAAGAGGTTACATTTGGATTAGATAATATTAGTAATAAATTCTTCCCTGTGGGAATGGTGAGAGCCTGGAACAAGTTGTCCCGAGAAGCTGTGAATTCCTCATCCCTGGAAGTGTCAAGAGCAGGGGCTCTAGTCTTGGATGGGGCTCTGAGCTCCTGGTCTAGTGGAAGGTGTCCCTGTCYACAGAAGGAGGCTTGGAACTAAATGACCTTTAAAATCCCTTCCTACCCAAACTGTTCTGTGTTTCTATCCCAGCCCTGATGGGGATCTCGTGCTCTGTGAGGTTTTCTCCCCAGACTTGGCACAGCTGAACTCTCAGGGCTGGGGAGGATGGTGTGTGGGATGGGAAAGGTGAGAAATCTGCTCCAGAAGCCTCTGGTCACACAGCAACTTCCATCCCTTCATGCTCTGTGACAAAACAYGGGCAGTTTAAATGGTTTTGCACCAGCTGGATCAGGGAGCTCTGAAAGATCAGATTATTTGTGTTACAYTCTGCACTGACAGATACTCTGGGAGGTGATTCAACCAGAATYCAATGCAAACTGAAGGAAGTTCCCTGCACTGTCTTCCTCCAGCACCTTCACCCCTACCACAGCTCCTTCCCAGGAGACACTGCTCTAGAAACCAGGCTCAGGATTGTGTTTTCTGTCAGGTTCCTCCAGCACTGTGTCTATTCTACCTCTTCTATATCCTTCCCTCTTTTTCCTCACTTCTTCCTCTGTTCATTCATTCTACCTCTTTCTATTTCAATATTTATCTCTCACCCTGCTGTCACCAGCACATCCCCACTCGTACATTGCTGATATTCAGCCACAGGGATTTTCCTCCTCTGCTGAGGAATGTAGAGCAAACCTTTCTGTCTTTRTGTCACCCAGGTGGTGTTCATCTGCTGAGTGTCAGACTTTGGAGTCCAAACCCCTAATACTTTGTGAAATGAAAGTAGCATTTTGAGAGTGCAATGCCCCTGACCTAGGTGAAATGGCCTTTAAAAATATATTTTTTTAAAAAAAAGTGTAACTAGTGGTTAACCTAGGGTAAAAGGCACAGATGTAAATCTGATAGCTAATATTTCATATAAATTGTGATTGCTGGGTTGGAGATGAAGGAGCCATGATAGCAGGTCTAACAAAAATAACTTTGCAAATAAAGGAGGAACAAGAGTTAAAGCTCCAGTAGTATCAGATGGCAACATCAAGGGAAAGAGCACTTCAAAAATGACATAAAAATGGCATTGTGTTGGTTTGGGGTTTTTCCCAAAAAAACATTTGGTTATCTCACTCTTTTTGATTATTTCYTCCATATATTTCAGTGCCCTCAGCGAATTCCTCAGCAAATGCTGTGGTCTAGTGTGTCAGCAAGGATGAAGTCATTGAGATGTGGATATCTGSCTGTTTGAAGCTCCACAGCCCACCTCACTTGGGCTGGGAGAGTTTGTCATGTGGTGATCACAAACCAGACACTCCCTAAGCTTGGGTGAGACAGSGCTCAAGGACTGAGCCTGCAGCCCCAGGGCAGGGGTGCTGAGATATCCAGAGTCCTGAGCAGCCTTTCTGACAGTGATTCCTGTGTGGATATGCCATCCTGGTGCATTCATGGGTGCAAAGTTATTTCCTTAAATCCCAGATGATATGGACATTTTGGCTCTTGTTGAACTCAGTGATGGCAACAGCCCAAACCTCTGCGAGCTCTCAGGTTCTTCTAAGGATGACAATGTTAAAAGAGATCACTGCAATCCTCTATCACCCTGCCTTTATCCTGGGGAGTCTTGTACTGACCCCAGCAAATGGAAGCTCTAAAGTTACTTCTCTGTCTAATTCAAAGACTTCAATTTAAATTCTTCAAATGATGGAAAATCCACTTTGTGTTTTGATGAGTTCAGTTGCATTCACATTCATATTAAACATTTGTGCTGTATTTTCAGTCTGTGTTTGCTGGTTTCATCTTTCTGCCAATGTCTGCTTGGCTGATGAGATTTCAGCTCCTTCTTCCAACATATAAATATGCAAATRTTCCATAAATCACTGCTGACTCTTTAATAAAACAAGGAAGCCACATTGCTTTTAACTCTCAGAGTGGGAATTGGTTTTTTTGGACCTTGAATTTCATAGTTGTATGACTTTTATCTCTTTAGCTTTTCCTTTCCATGGACATTATATCTGTGAATGCCACTATCCATCACTGCTGTCATGCCCTCCCCAGTGGKCAGGAAACAGGCATCATGTCCCAGTTCAAGCTAGTTCTGATTCTGTCAGGCCAACACTTTAATACCATTTCTTCCTCAATACATCCCTTATGCCTCTTGGCCACATAAACAGGTGGCTCAATTTGACTTCAGTTTACAGTCTTAGAACAAATAAACTGGGAAAATGATTGATTTATTTTATGCTGCTTGCTGTGTCTGACAATTTTACTGAAGACTGTAGCCAGCCAAAGAACACAGGGCCTGCTAAGAACAGAAAGAGAGCTCAGAAAGGATGGGTGCTTGTTTTGTCTTTCAAATGTGAGGCAGGAATAGCTTCTTGCCTGTAGCTCATTATAAATAAGTGAGATCAGAGTCTGCCTACAAGTCTGAGGAAAAAAAAATAAAAAAGAAACCTTGGACTTTCCTGACTCATGAAAGGTAAAAGCTGARCCATGAATTTGACTTTTAAATGAGCCAAACAAGTAGCTGTGTTAGTTTCCAATCAGAGTGCTTTTTCTTGTGCTTTTTTCCATTCCTGGTTGATGAAGGTGACCCCCCTTTCAATCAGCAGCAAGGGATTCAGGAAGCACATACTGGAATGGAAAGGGAGGTGGGATCCTGCACCATTGGTTGTTGTTGTTGTTGTTGTTGTTGTTGCTGTTGTTGTAACTGCTTAGGTGATGTGAAGGAGAGTTACATCAGCCTGGGCCTTTGAAATATCAAAGAAGCTTTAGAAAAAAGAGCATGGAAACATCTGCTTTAGCTGACTCTCGATAGCATCAAGCATCTGAGCACTCAGCCAGCCCCACCTCAGCACAGGGGAAGAGCTCATTTCAGAGCTGCTGGTCTTTGCCAATGAGACCTGACACCTGAGTGAAAGAAGCTGCAATGTTGCAGGAGGATTCACTCTTTAGCAGTCCAAACAGTCTTTCCAAAGAAGATGGGCAGGAATCACACTGTGGAGAGAGAGTAAAACGCTCCTTGGCTCCTGCTCAGCCTTGTGTCTCCCTGGTATGGTGATGCAGAAGGGACCAGGAGCTAATGTGATGAATCCAGCACTGAATTCCCTCAGTTCTTCAGAAAATGCCAGATGAAGGGATTTACCTTGGAATGTTACTGAGCCCATTTTCCATTACTGACTACGAACACACCATGCTCTGTGGCTCAAACTCCTCATGCCAGAATAGTTGTGAGGCTGATCTCACACACCCTGCTGCTAAACAGAAAATCAGCTGGCCCAGGTAAACCAGCCTGACTGTCAGCTCTCCAGGACCAACCGGTCATTTCTCCAAAGAGCTGGTGTAAATCACCTCCACTGATTTAGGGGAGGCGGCAGCCAAGTCTGAAAAATGGAACATTCGATATTTAATTCATTCATGCAGCCAAAACAATTTATTCCCACCATTTGAGTGAGAATATTGCCTTTGAGGAGACATGACTGTGGTTTCATGCCYCATAAATAAAGTCAGATTTATTAGGACAGGTCTTCAGCTGGTGTCAATCTGTGTGGCTCCTTTGATTTCAGCAGTACTAATCTGGCTGACAGCAGCTGAGCTGTTCCATKCATCAGTGACAGTAACTATGAAAAWAGTCATTAAAACACAATTTTCTGTATTTTCCTGTTTAAAACTTTACAGAACTTTATATCAATTGACAAATCTGTGTTATATTAGATTTCCTGTTACTGA